GCAGCCTACATAGTGTAACTTTACCCAGAGGTGTAATAACACCCCTTTCATAGAACAAGAACAGGTATTAGTACTACAATAATTTATTTATGCAGGCAGATTAGAAGCTAAGTCAATTGCTTTTAAAGCCCTTATGCACCTGTCCACACTATGCCATTGTTGCAGATCTTTTGTTCATGCAAAGTTCACCTTGTGCAGAGAGTCAGCGGGAGGCCAGTCCGCCACTCACCCTGGGAGCACAAGGTGAATCTCAGCACAAGAAACAGCTGATTTTCCAACACAGTGGCAGCAAGAGGATAAGTTATAAACCACTGCTCCACTCACAGGAAAATATTTTCCTGAGTAAATACACCCAGCACCAAAGAAGCCATTTGTCCTAAATATGTATATTGTATTCTCATAGTCTTGGCACTTGGCACGCTCTGCCCAGCCCGGGGTTAGCAGTGCACCAGCCTACCAAGCACAAACTGCTTCAGAAACTACAAATCACTTTCCTACTGCCCCAGCAAGCTATGCAGCTACGTGCACGCGTGGCACTAATACCCAAGACAACCTGTTCCCTCTAGGTGTTTGGCCAACTTCACAAGCTAGCGCAGAAAAGCCATGCATACCCTTCGCGGTCATTTGTTGTTCTGAGATAAGGGGAAGGAGGTGTATTCCCACCCCTTCCAATTCAGGCTCAAACAGGACCCATGAGAACTGTGACGTATGCCACACTCACTAAGTGCTTCCTTTCTTGGCATACACCTTGTCTCTCAGTCTTTTGGAAAAAGAGACTGAGGACAAAATGTCCCTAAACTATTTTAAAATAATAAGTAAGACTGATTGCTTGCGCAACCTGTGTTCTAATGCTATCTTCCAAGCACACTTATTTTTAAAATTGTTATTGTTACCACCTTGTTGAAGTTTGTAGTGTTCAATTTCCTTCTCAGAGGTGCACTCTGCAGAGTTCAGTATTAGGGAGAGTTTAACAGGGTTGTCATTTTACAAAAGTGTGATGAACAGGTAGTTGAACCAGTCAGTGAATCTATACTTGGAGTCAGAAAATATTTTCTGAAAGTTAGAAGTCCAAAGGCTTTGGCTTTTTGGGTTTTTTTGTTGTGTTTCTTTAAACTTAAAACACAACAGAAGGTGTGTAACCCTTACTAGTCTTTTAGCTCATTTCAAGACCAACACAAACAAATGTCTGCTCTTTTCAAGCTGAATGTCCACACTCTGCAGCTAACACTCTCCAGTAAAGGTTGAGACATACAGAGGAAGGAAAAGTAGAACTAACCATTACCTTGTGCATATTTGTCAAATAGGATCAAACAGGAAGAGTTTATTCATAGTAAAACATGAAAAGCATCTTGCACATATAAAAGCAACCCAAAGTGCAATATGGTGAAAGGCTAACACACCCTTGTGGGGAGCAGGAGACTCAAGCTGAACAAGACTTCTAATCTGCAACTAGAGAACATCTACCCAATCCAAATTTCAGAAAAAGCCGTGGCAGAAAATTTGGCAGTTTATCAGAACCAGTACTTTTTTGTTTGCAACACTGTCATTACAAAGTTCTCCCCAATGCTAATGCATAATAAAACAGGTCAGTAGAGAAGCCAAACTCACCCTATCTGACCAGCGCAGGATGCACAATCAGTTTGAAGAAAGACAACTTTTCAACACCGATTATTGAAGGTAATTTGATGTGTGTCATTACAACTGCTCTGTTCCATTAAAAGCTCCATGGTTTAGCAGTGAACTTGGCACTGTTAGGTTTATGGTTGGACTTGATGATTGTAAGGGTCTTCTCCAACCTAAATGATTCTGTGATTCTATACTTGAGCTAGTCTGGCTTGATTCATGTGAACTGATAAGCACTCCCAAATCAAGCTGGACTACTGAAGTGAGGACAAATCATTAATCATGGTATCAGTTTAGCTTCCCATATGCAGTATGACAGCAAACATTGCATGTGGAGAAATATTATGTTCTTATATTAGAAAGGAGATAGGAAGAAAAAGGGTAGAAGAAAACTCCTCCGCTACTTGAAATACACAAAAAACTTTCCCAAAGAGCTTAGTGTCAAATATGAAACACTCTCTCCTGATTTTATGGAATCATTTATCGCTACCTTTGACATCAAATAGAAATTGACTGAATTTGAAAATCTAAAGGCCACTGCCACTTTCATTCCACTATTAAATTAAACCGCTGTATCTCAGTTTGGTTGACTTGCTGACTCAGGCTGTACCAGCTACTCAAAGCAACACGATGCTTGCAACCATTGCAAAGTACATGCCTCTTTACATTCTCCAAGGCTAAGCTTCATTGTCTCAAACTGTAGGCTGTTTCCCTGACTTTCATCAGAACCATACAGACCCAACCTGAGTTATTAGTCAGCAAACCAATGGCCCCCAAAAGGCACTGTATCTCATACTTACAGTACTACAGAAACACATCCATTCTGATTAACTGGTCTACTGCATTCTTCAGTTCACCCAAATACTTTTTTTTATTAACTATCATTTTCCCCTTTTCAACTATCACTCAGATAAGGGTGACTCATATCACACTCTCTCTGTTGTAAAGCTAAAATAACTGTCTTTAACCTAGAGATAGTTTGTTCTGAGCATGACTGGACAAAAAATCTCACAACACAAGCTTTTCCAGTGGCATCAACACTGAAGACTAGATCAGCAACTCTGAGAACAAAGCCATCTGCCCAAGCATGGACAAGCACGCAGTATTACTAAGACTTGTACACAGTTACCAGCCTGCAGTATAGAGGAGACTAGATTGAGGGCAGCTAAAAAATTCAGTCTGGAGACTCTAAAGTAGCTGATGTCTCTGCACAAAGTAGCCAAAAGGAAGAACAGGGTAGAATAGATTGCATGAAAAATAATAACAACATACCTATATATATATATATATATATATATACACTTGTATACAGCTTTACAGTATCTTCTATATTCCATGGCTTCAAACATATACCATGTTACCAGGCAAAAGGTAAAAACCTAGCCATATTCATGACACTGTTTGTACATGTCCTGGTTCAGCTAGGATAGGGTTAAGTTTCCCCAGCAGGAGAAGGGATCTCCAGCCAGGTTATTCATACCATACTGAGATCAGGTCCAGCGCGGCAGCACAGGAAGCTTTCCTTTGTGGCTTTGGTCGCGGGGAGCACGCAAGCGAGCTGTCTGTATCCATTGCGGTATTTCTCTATCTTTTGTCTTTTTTACTGTTATTACTGTTTATTATTGTTATCATTGCTACTGTTGTTGTTCAGATTGTTTATTACACTGTTGTATTAAATTTCTTCTTATTTTAACCTGGGGTTTGTGCCCTACTTGTGTCCGAGGATGGGGGAGGGACAACGGCAATGTGGTGTCTGGTCCCGGCAGGGTTAAAACCAACACAGTACATACAAATGAATTGTACTTGCAAATTCACTACACTTGACATACACATGGACAGCAAAAACGAAACTTTTCAGCAGGAACATCCTCTCTATTACAGAAATAATGAAAAGGCACCCCCAATTTATTTGGGCCTATACATGCTGATGCAGGTGTGAAATTTAAGTCAAAGTGTGTTTAAAAAAATGCTTTGAATAGTTGCACATCAGAGTCACTGATGAGAGATAAATAACCCCTAGTGATCTCCAATTTGAGACATGTGGTAGATTTCTCCCTCAAGCTGTTCACTGTGAATACTAACAATGCTCTCCCTTTCAGGATCCTAGTAGCAGAACAGGTGACCTGAAAGAAACCACTTTGCTGTATTTTGCAACACAATTATTAAACGCTGGGTTGGAGGGCTATTTTCCCTGGTATGAAACCATCCATAACTCACTCAGCATTGACAGAGACATCAGACTTGAATCACTTTTTGGAAGCCTCAAACGGCATGCACTTTGCAACAGTTTCATGTTTAGAAAGTACTTTTGAGTTTCAGAAAGGCCCAGGGGGATCTCTCTGGAAGGTGGACACATTTAATAGCACACTCCAGCTACTGAACACAGTCACATTACCATATTTATTTAACAGCTTCCGTGGAGAATGATCTCTTCTGTAAATTGAGAGCCATTACGTGGAAGTCCAAAGTTGTACTGCAATAAATCAGTGCTGAAACTGCACTCACAGTTCTTTAAAAGAAAATATATAAGCAGACTGATAATAGCAACAAAACTACACACCCACTGTTGACAGGTGGAGATTCTACCAACCTCCTACTCATGAAAAAGAAATTAATGGATACGGTCTCATTCATTCCACTAGAATAATCTGTTCAGCCAAGTGTCAGTGAACTGCCATGACTCCCAGCAGTTACAAAGGTCTGGTACTTCTACAAATAATATCCTGATCTTATGCTCTCATCTCCCCCAGAAAATAAAAATAATTGCAACCCCTGCTTCTTGCAATGCTTACAGGGTGCCTGCTGTATTCTACATGATAACTATATGAATATATTGGAATACATACCAATGCAGCTTAAGGTCTGAAATGCCTATTCAACGAAACAAGTTTACAACTGGCTTAAGACAGAAGCACATGAAATCAAATCTTTTTCCTTTTTTTAACTGTTATTTCCCAGTCCTGAACAGTATTCACACATGAAACACTTAACAAAATCATGCATGTTAAAAAGATTGAAAGCATCATTGGAAATGACTTGTTAACACTGAAGCCTACAGATAATGCATCTCAGCAAGTTCAGCTATAATTTGGTCAATATTTCTCATGTGGCTTAATGGAACATGATGGATAGCCAAATGAGAGGCATTCTTCCTTCAACATCCTGAGTCAATCAAGTATCCCTATATAAAAGAGCAAAACATTTCAACAGAACAGGACATTTCAACAAAGCATACACTTCTTCACACAAATGCAAGTGCTGTTAAGAAGTAGTAATGACCTTTATATAGGTTACTTTGAATCCTGTTTCAAAACTTTTCTACCATTTCCCTCAAGACAAAATATGAAAATACTTTAAAAAACAAAATGAAATCTTACGGCTTGAAATGCAGTATGCCAGCCTGCAGTTGATCCTCCTGAACAGCTGCTTGTTGATTGGCCAAAGTATAAGTGTAAAGAGTTGAATGAAGTTAATGATCAGTCCTGACACTATAAATATGTAGCAGATCAGAAGGTGGCAAATGAATTGAGACTTCAGAAAGCCAACGATGTCCATGATTTGCTGAGAAAACAAGAGGGTACCTTCAGACCCAAAATTCAGAAGACAACCTGCAAAACCAAACAGTATCAGCAGTTACAGAGTGCATTTATTTCTATAAACAGACTGTTAATACAGACATCCCATTTTACACTTAAATACACTAAACCCACTAAAATGAAAGTTAATTCTATTGTAGAAAAAGGCCTGATGACAGTATTTGCAAAAGTAAGCATAGAAGGAGAACACCATATTTCTGAATCAATTTACATTTGGCTTTGGAAACAAATTTTCACATTTCAGTTCTAATTCTGCAAAACCCACAAGCATATGGCTCCATTTCATGGACTACAATGCTCCTCTATCAAGCTTTTGTTGATAAAATATGAGCAAAATAATCCAGTTATGAAGTACAGACAATTCAAATCAAAATATAAGACATATGCTGTGGCCTCTGCTATCTTGAAGAACAGATCCATCGCAAACACAAGCTTTAGAGCCTTAAGTTAGAAGCTGTGCCTTTCTCTATAGGCTATGCCAGCCATGCTCCCCAATCAAGAGGTAAGAGCAACCCTTTAATTCTAGCTTTATTGGCTTGTTCCCTTGTCACATTCAAATATCAGTTGATTTTGGCAAGAGAATGAAAGCTTGGCTATGCACAATACACACAATTTATTCAATTATTCCTTAACACTGTAATTCTGTCAGTTACACTTCATAAACCCAGAAAGGAAACATCGATAACAGTAATAATCCATGAACCAGCAGCGTTTCCAGAAAAAATCAACTCTTAGGTCACTTAAAAAACGTTTGTATAATTTTGGAAAGGAGCAGTCCAACCTCAGCAGTTGAACATCTCAAGAAAGTGTCCTCTGCCAAGTATTCTGACCTACCAAGTACTGTATTGACCTCCGCTCCACCATCACTACCACCAACACCAGTCTCATTTGTTAGAAGATCTCTCAGTAAACAACACTCCAGTATTTTGAAAACAGTTAAGCAGGAGGTGCTACCATCCTTTTCCATTCCTACACTGTTTCTCCCTCCGAGGCTTAGGAGAGTTTCCCCAGGGAGGAAACCCTGAGATGGTATTTCTGAATGTGCCAGTCATAGGCAATAACAAAACAGCAGCTGTCAGCATCCCAGGGAATTAACTGATGAAAAATATCTTTATGCCTATCCTTTTAGTTTATATGAGACCTCATTATGTGAAGCACTGGGTCTAGATCAGTGTCCTGAAACATTTATTTTACTGCCCTTGCTGACTATGCTTACCACAGCAAAGAGCACACACAAGAATTGCTACAAAATGAGAGGAAGTTTTTAGCCAGGTTTCCAACTACAGGGAAGATGAAGAAAAACTTAAGAAAAAAAATATTTCTGTATTGTTGTATAATTTTTATAAAGAATTTATGGCAGTCCCAAACCTACTGTTTAGCTGATAAAATGTGCCCTTTGTGTACGACAGACTCTGTTCCCTTCATCTTGCTGTACTATTCAGTACCAAAGCAGACACCATCTGTAGCTCAGAACGGCAGAACAGGCCTCTGTTCATTGTAGTAACTACTGTCATGATACTTGCAAAAAGCTTTTCCAGTTTTAACCAACCATTCTATTCAAGATAGGTTTCTGAGGGTGGCAGACAATTTATTAGCATGGGCTTTGACCAAAGGCTTTGTTTTCACTGAAGGCCAAGTAGAATGAGAAATGTTGTCTATCAGGAACCATTGCAATGAATGATTCATGCCCCAGCCCCTCCATCACCACTCTAAAGAGAGAGCCAATCCCTTGAAAAAAAAAACCAAACCCAAGTTTTGAGTTAGTTTACAGTGAAAGAAACATGATATCACTTCTCTAATTCAGACTACTGTACCTCATCAAGTAGCAGGATTAGATCACTTCTTTAAAACAGTCAGTCAGAATGGAAGTAACCAGTTACTTACAAGCGGATGGTTTAAATGACTGTGCAGTGCCCGAAACCCTGATGACTGGGTTTATCCTAGCATCCTTGGCTAAAATTGATCAAAAGTTTTTTGTGCTAGCTGGCCTGTTTAATTCCATCCCACAGAATCACTTTAATCTAATGTAATTCCCAGAGATCATTAAGGGACTGGATTAAAAACAAAACAAAACAAAACAAAACAAAAACAAAACAAAAAACCCCCCACATATAAGATAAAAGCACTGTCTACTTACAGTGGAGACCTAAAAATTCACTATGTGATATAATAAACATAAGTCTACTGTAGTAAGTAGTTGATCGACAGATTTTGTGACAAGAAAGAATTCACCAGAACATTAGTCCACCAATTCATTTTTTTTTCCCTGTAATAGTAATCAAACTGCATTAAAATGTTATGTTTATATGAATCATTTACTTCACACTGTGTGTTTAAAACAAAACTTCACAGAACTAAACAAAGATCAGATGACCCTGATAAAACAGAATTACTGTTTTGCAATTTTATGAAGCCACAATGGAATGTCTGAAAGTAATTTATTCCTTGCTTTTGTACCTCAATCATCAAATTTCAATTCTGTAAACCTTCTAAGACATATTTTAAAGGCAAACTAAATCTACTTAAGCAGTACTAGTGAAATGCATCTAACCTAACTTGCTTGTAAAAGGAACAAGAAATTAGAGCCACTACTTAAATTTTGCTTTTCTGAAAAGCAGGGAGACCAGAGAGTTTAATTTTCTCTTCTGATTAAATACAAGCTGTTTTCCCTGCAAAATTTGCAACCCAAACATTGTATACAGACTTCTAGTTAAGTGTTCTGTTTGCATAAGCTCATTCTTAGAAGATTAATATGATACTTTCTGAATTGTTTTCATTACCCAGACTCCAAGAAATACAGTTTATTCTTGGTACAAGCAACAAAAAAGGAGAAATTTATTTTCAAGAATCAATTCCGGCCTTGTGAAAGAGGTCTAGAATCTTGCTTTTGAAGAGTTCATAGGAACTTCTACTTGCTCTTTGTCTTACTACAGTTCCTCATGGGTAACATCAACATTAACACCAGTTTAAGTGATGAAGAATCAGGTCTTTAATTCTTAATCCTTGATGCTGGTTTAATAAATTACACTGATTTCCTTATAGATGATGAGTGAAAATTACAGCAATCTTTTGAAAACAAAAGGGCCAATCAATGCATTTTCTTGGAAGCTATTAAGCTCGGAGAATTGCCAAGAAGCTCTCTTCTATCAAACACCCCTTAAAATGGATTAGGAGAAAATAGCCAGCCAGAGCATCAAAACTAGATAGGGACATTCTTTAATAAAAGTTTTCCTTTGGATATAAAACAAAAGACTCAAACCTCAAATGTCTGTCTAGGGAGCAAGTCAACAAGCACATTTATTCATGTGATGAAGAGATCACAGGATCAGGTTTAAAAGCAAACTCCACGACTATGCATTCTACCTCTTTTCCCCCCGGGTTTCATTCTTCAACAAGATTCACTGTGTTTTCTAAGTCAACTGTTCTCAGCATTTCACAGAATCACAGAATCATCAAGGTTGGAAAATACCTTGAAGATCATCCAGTCCAACCATTAACCTAACACTGACAGTTCCCAACTACACCACATCCCTCAGTGCTATGTCAACTCTACTCTTAAACATCTCCAGGGATGGGGACTCCACCACCTCCCTGGGCAGCCCATTCCAACACCTAACAACCCCTTCTGGAAAAAAATGCTTCCTAATATCCAGTCTAAACCTTCCCTGACACAATTTGAGGCCATTCCCTCTTGTCCTGTTACTTGTTACTTGGTTAAAGAGACTCTTTGGGCCCGGCCATCCAGCCAGTTTTTTACACAGCAAAGCGCGTGCCCAATCCAAGCCAAAAGCAGCCAGTTTCTGACTTCCAATCTGTTGGGACCTCCCCGGTCAGCCAGGACTGCTGGTAAATGATGGAAAGCGGCTTGGCGAGTGCCCCAGACAGCTCCTTCAGCACCCTGGGGTGTATCCCATCTGGTCCCATATACTTGTGTATGTCTGTGTGATGCAGCAGGTCACTGACTGTCTCTCCTCCTGGATTGCGGGGGGGGTCATTCTCCCAACTTCTGTCTTCTGGCTGAGGAGGCTGGATTCCCTGATTACAATTAGTCTTCTTAATAAAGACTGAGGCAAAGAAGGCATTAAGCACCTCAGCCTTCTCCTCATCACTTGTTAACCATGTTTCCTCCCGTGTCTAGCAGGGGATGGAGGCTCTCCCTGGTCCTTCTTTTACTGTTGAAACATTTCTTGCTATCCTTGATAGCTGAAGCCAGATTAATTTCTATCTGGGCTTTAGACCTCCTGATTTCTGCCCTGCATAGCCTCACAGCATCTTTGTAATCACTGTGAGTGGCTAGCCACTTCTTCCAAAGGCCTTAAACTCTCCTTTTCTCCCTGAATTGCAGCCAACGCTCCCTGTTCAGCCAGGGTGGTCTTCTCTGGTGCCAGCTTCTCTTACAGCACCTGGGGACCGCCTGCTCCTGTGCCATTAAGACTTTCTTCTTAAAGAGCGCCCAGCCTTCCTGGGCCCCTATACCCTTCAGGATCACCTCCCAAGGGATACTGTCAAGCAGGTGCCTAAAGAACACAAAGTCAGCCCTTTGGAAGTCCAGGATGTCAGTCCTGCTGCCCCCTCTTCTGGACTCTCTAAAAATAGAGAACTCTATTATTTCATGATTGCTGTGCCCTAGTCAGCCTCCAACCACCACATTATCCACCAGTCCTTCTCTGTTCACAAAGAGGAGGTCTAGCAGGGCAACTTCTCTGGTTGGTTCACTCACCAGCTGTGTCAGGAAGTTATCTCCCACACATTCCAGGAATCTCCAGGACTGGTCCCACTCTGATGTGTTGTATTTCCAGCAGATGTCTGGGAAGTAAAAGTCTCTCACAAGAACAAGGGCGAGTGATCATGAGATTTCTCCTAATTACCTATAGAACATTTCATCCACTTCTCTGACCTGGTTGGGTGGCCAATAGTAGATTCCTACTACAACATCTGCCCTGTTAACCTTCCTCCTGAATCTAACACAAACACACTCCACCCTGTCTTCAATAAACTTGTGCTCAAAGCAA